AAGCTATTTTCCTGGGATGACTGGAGTCCTGGTGTGGCACTGTAGCATAAGCACTGGACCGCAAGTCGGTTTAAACCTCAAGGTCGGTGGTTCAAACTCACCAGCTGCTCCTTGGAGACCCCATACAACAGAGTTGCTGTAAGTTGGAACCAACTCGATGACACTTAACAAGAAGGATTACTAGAATCAAAAAGTCAGGGAACAGGTGTTGGTGAAGGTGTGCAGAAACTGAAGCTGGTGGGAATGTGCAGACAAAACCAGTCTGGCAGTTTCTCAAATATTTAAACATGACATTTCCACATGATGTGACATCGCACTCCTAGGTATATAGTCAAGAAAATAAAAATAAACTCATGTGTCTACACTAAAACATGTGTATTCATGTTCATAGGAGCTTCATTCATACAAGCTAATAGGTGAAACTAACCCAAATGCCCAAAAACAATATTTGATTTATCATACAATGGACCACTGGTGCTGCTGTAGGATAGGCACTGGAATACCAACCACAAGGTCGGCAGTTAAAACCCACTGATCACCCCATGTGTCACTGTGGGATAAGCACTAGACCTCAAGGTCACTTTGAACCACAAAGTGGCAGTTCACACCTACCAGACACTCCTTGGAAATCCTCTATAAGTTCACTATGAGTCAGAACCAACTCGATGGCACTTAAAAACAACAACAACAAGCAATCTGTGGAGAAAGATGTGGTTTTCTGCTCCTAAGCAGATTTTAAAATTTCGGAAAACCTATGAGTAGGTTTATTCGTTTCGGTTGCTATGAGTAGGAACTGACTCGATGGCACCTAACACAACAACAACATACAATGGGATATTATTTGACCATAAAAAGGTATGGAGTACTGAAACTTCATACAACATGAACTATGAAAACGTTGTTAGGTGCTGTTGAATCGGTTTCAACTCAGAGCTACCCTAAGTACAACAGAATGAAACACTGCCAGGTCCTACACCCTCCTCACAATTGTTGTTACGCTAAAGCCCATTGCTGCTGTCACTGTGCCAATCCATCTCACTGGGGTCTTCCTCTTTTATTCTGACCTTTTACTTTACCAAACATAATGTCCTTCTCCAGGGACTGGTCCCTCCTGGTAACGTGTCTGGAGTATGAGAAACAAAGTCTGTTTTTTTTTGTTGTTTTTTTTTTTAATTCCACATGTATTTTTATTAGCCACTGATCAACCACTATGTATGAAAATTGGTCAGCCTAACTTAGAGACACTGAGTAAAGAGCATCAAGTTATAAACTAAATGCTGGACCACATTGACTCCATGAAATATTTGACCACAGGGTTTTTGTTTTGTTTTGTTTTTTTAAATTTCTATCACCTGTATTTATTGCCCCTGTGTTTTTGAGATACATGTAATGTTTTTTCAACTGAAAAACACAGTTTTCTCAGGAATACAGAATGACACATACTTATTTCACAGTAGAAACTATTGTCATAGTGGTTAATTGGAACAGAAAGCCATCCAGAGAGTGAGACGAAGTCTCTTTTAAGGAGCACTCTGGCTGTACTTCTTCCAACAAAGATCAGTTTGCTCTTCTGTCAGCCCATGGGACTTCCCAGATTCTTCTCCAACACCACAGCGCAAATACATTAATTCTTCTATGACCTTCCTTATTCATTGTTCAACTTTCATATGTAAATATAGGCTTTTAAAAATACCATGGTTTGGGTCAGGTGCACCTTAGTCCTCAAACTGACATATTTACTCTTGAACATTTTGCCCTTGAAAACACTATGCTAAGTGAAATAAGCCAGCCAAAACAAAACAAAACAAAAACACCCCATTCATATAAAAGTAAATAGGGAAATTTACAGAACAGAAAGAAAATTAGTTGCTTAGGTTGGAGGTAGTACTTGCGGGGGATAGGACAATGATGACTAACTGGTACAGGATTTCCTTTTGAGGTGATGAAAATGTTCTAAAATTGCCTGGGGTGATGATTGCACATATCTATGACAATAATGAACTTTGAATGTATACCTTAAAGGGTGAGTTGTATGGTATATGAATTATGTCTCAATAAAGCTGGTAAGAAAGTCAGAATTGGCTTTTTGCTAGGTCTGGATCCTGACCTCCAGTTCTTTGGACCTGAACCTGCCATACTGCTTGCCCATCCTGGGACTTGTCAGTAGCCTGCCATCTTACCTGTGGATCTTAGATTCATTAGCCTTTATAGTCAGAAGTCTGCCATATGACCTACTAATTTTGGGCTTATCAGCTCCTGCAACTATGTGAGTCAAGAGGAGCTTTCAGACTGATATCTAACCCTTGGAACTTGCCTGCCACTATAAACTTCTCTGTAAGAGCTATTTCCTTTACACAAACTTCTTTGTGTGTGTATATATACTGGTGTAGCTCTGTAGGATAAGCAATGGATTGCTGCTAACCACAAGATTGACAATTCAAACCCACCAGCCACTCCTTGAAAATCCTATACAGACAGGGTCACTATGAGTCAGGACAGCACTTAACAACATCAACTACATATATATATACAAGAACATCTATCTATCTATCTATCTATCTATCTATCTATCTATCTATCTATCTATCTATCTATCTATCTACGTGTGTGGAGAGAGAGAGAGAGAGATCACTGTTACGCTTCTCTAGAGAACCCAGTCTAAGACAGCTACTAACCAAAAGGTTAGCAATCTACTACCAAAAATCAGTCAATGGAAACCCTATGGAATCTTAACCATGAGTCATAGACTCCACAGCAAATGGTTTGACTCCTCTAAGCCCCTCCATTTTCCATGAAAGAATTTCTATAAACCTATTCTACCATGCCTGGTGAGGCACTATAGGATAAGCACTGGACTGCTAACCACAAGCTCAGTGGTTCACACCTACCAGTCACTCCTTGGAAAACCTATAAAGGGTTACTATGAGTTGGAACCAACTCAACAGCACTTTACAACAACAACAACAGCAACATTCTACCATGCAAATATCCCTAAGAGGAAGCTAATTTTTATATCTCTATTTCCTATTCATATTTTTGGAAGGTAAATTGATCACTGAAATTCAGAATGAGATTTTGGTTGAGGGCTGAGATTAGAGTCTGTCTGCAGAGAAGCCAGAGAAGGGAAGAAGAGGAGCTGGGAAGAGAAGAGTCTGGTTTTTGCTATTTTTCATCTGTGTTCAACTTAGCCCTCTCCTCCCAGCCAACTGTAGTCTCCATATACAAACACACATGTGTATATATTAGTCACAAGTCATCAAGTTAAAGGTTTAACACTAGTGCATTTATTTTATGACAAATATACTCAATACAAGAATGTTTGTTGTTATCAAATTCCTTTCCAGATTGCATTTACTAATTTACACTCATAAGGAGCTCTGGTAGCATAGTGGCATAGTGGTTACGAGTTGGGCTGATAACCTCATGGTCAGCAGTTTGAAACTACCAGCAGTTTCGCAGGAGAAAGATGAGGCTTTCTGTTCCCATAAAGATTTCCAGTCTTGGAAACCCTATACAGGGTTGCTATGAGTCGGAACCAACTCCACGCCCACCACCATCACCACCAAATTCCACTCATACCAACAGAATTCAATTACACAGTTTACCAACTGTGATACTGATAATCTGGCAGGGTTAATATGGAACTTAATTGTGTTTTTAACTATTGTTGCTGTTGTTGCTAAGTGCCACTGTGTTGGCTCCGACTTATAGGACCCTGTATAGGGTTTCTGAGAAGCAGCTGGTGGGTTTGAACTGCCAACCTTGTGGTATGCAATCCAGTGCTGATCCTATAGCACCACATCAGGAATCCGTTTTAAATATTGTTGTTGTTGCTAAATACCGTCATGTCGGGATCCGACTCATAATGAATGACCCTGTACAGGGTTTCCAAGGATCAGCTGGTAAGTTAGAACTGCCGGCCTTTACGGGCATTAACCAGCAGCACCACAAGCTCTTATCATTAGAGTCTGACCCCTCTTCCATTGTTTCTTGAATATTTAAGTTTCAAAAACAAACAAAAACTTTTCATATCTGCCTTTGGCTTAACTTTTTTTTTTTTTTTTT